GAAGAGCGGGGGACCCGGGGCGAAGCTTTGGGCCGCACGCGGGGTTAGGGTGGAGCGATGCCTCGGAGGTGAGAGAGGTGGCCCCGAGGAGGGGGGGGGGGGGGGGGCGTACTCTTATGTTTTGCATGCCTTAGCGGATATACCATTGACCACGCCTCCTCGAGAGGCCCGAGCACTGTTCTCACAGGACCGATCACTGATGGCCAATCGTTCCTTCCTACTTTGCCAAAGGTGGCTCATTTTTCCGAGCCTATCCATCCTATCGATATCACTTCCCGCTTTGAAACCCACTCCTCTGCCCCAGTACAGCTAACGTCTTCTCCTGGCTATCCCATGCCTCAAATATCTCCCTGCATTTTTCTCCTACTGTTCCCAGCTCAGTCATGTACACTTCCTTCTCCTTGTATAACGGACATTCCGCAACTACATGGAAACGGTCTTTGCACTCGGAGCCGCAATCACATTTGAACTTGGCGTCTTCATCGTCTACCTTCCGAAGTCTTCGGCTACGTTCTCGAAGGCCAATATCCCCGGTCCTAACTTGGCCTTGACCTTTGTCCCTGCACCCGTCATGTACTGTAGGTACTCCTTGAACCCTATTCCTTCCTCCAACATTCCGTACACGTCTGACTTCCTTTTATCCTTGGTTCCTTTGTTGAGAGTATCTTCTTCTCTCTCGGCAAAAGCAACAGATATCTTTTCCTTGAACCTCTCTACACCGCCCGTTTCAAGCAGTTCACCTTCGACAATTTCGAACTCCTTCCATAAGTCATCTACAACCATCCGTAAAAGTGGGGGGGGGGCAATCCTCCCGGCCGCTTGTCGTCTTGACTCTAGTTGCAGTCGTGTGCCCTGAATAGGACGAGTATGTTCCAGGTCGATTCACCCGCCGCCCAGTAGCGGGCACCACTCGTATTCCAAGCATTAATCAAGCCGAACAGTCTATCGGTGCCAAGACATTGCACCCGCAGCATGCCGGCCACCCACCCTATCGAGGTCCCTCCGCTGAACAATTTCCAAGTCTTTCTTTGCCAAACCTACAAAAAAAACGACCTTCTCGTTCACAGAAGTTGTCGTGCCATTTCGAGATTTGACTACCCAAAACGGTCGGTCGGCAGTCAGCAACACCACCAAAAAGAGCAGTGTTCCGAGCGGGGTGGACTGCGGACTGCGCACGCCTTTTGGGCTTGATGCCTCTTGGGCTACGGATGCGACGCAATAGCTGCTGCTGCTGCTCGATCTCGTACCCCAAACGGGGGAGAATACTTAATGTGAGGACACATCAGAACCAAGCCAACGGAAGAGTCGGTGTTGCGTATCACATAAAAACACCACGAACAAATCGACAGCACTTGTTGGAATGTATCACGTGCGCCGTTCAGGGTAGATACAGATACAACTTCTTGGGGGGTAGGAGACTCCCGCCGGGAAAAGAGCGTGTGGGTAACAGGGCTCTACCGCCGCTGTAGCCAGTATTTCAGTGCTTGCTTGCCTGACCGACCATCAGCTTGTGCCTCTTGCCACCACAAACTACACACTGCTTTTCTAACACACACAAGCATAACCAAAAATATACCCGTTGCTGCTGTTCCTTGCCCACACATATCCAAGACTCAAGGTCAAGAGGTGGCGACGAACAAATACAGGAATCAATGACCATCGATAACCCAGGTAACTACATTTGCCATACACCAACTCGCTCAAGGGTGCCACAAAAGCTACAACCAGTGACACCGTGTTTTACGGGACAAAAAACTGCGGGCGAGGCAACGCACGAGCGCCTGAGAGAAAAAGACAAATGACAGAAAAAAAAAAAAAAGCGGCGGAAAAGACTCACTCTTCTTAGCCTTCCTCAGGCGCTTGATGAGGGCCATGGGCTTGCGCTTGAGCCCGCGGGACATCCTGCGCCTCGCGCGCGCGTGCACGAGCTCCATGAACTCCTGCTCGCAAAGGGCAGTTTTTGCACGACAAACGTAACAACGACACGGGCCAAAAAACGTACAGAGAGGCAGCGTGAAAATTGTGCGTCAGGAACCGGTTTCGATTCGGCTCGGCCTTCGTTCAGACCGAGAGAGAGAGCGCAATTGAGAAATATCTTTCCAAAATGAAACGTGAATAGCACCGGTGAGTTCGCTGCTGCTGCTGCTAGACACGCAGTATCGTTTGCTTGCAATTGCGGTGGCATCAACCCAGCGACAAACCCAAAAGGTAATCGCTTGTCATGACTACACCAGACACCCCATCGTCGTGTAGTTTTAAGCCACGGGCCTAGCACCAGAGTACCAAACAACAATACCACAACATGCCGCCACCTCCACGCACAACCCACAACAACAGCTACAGCCAAGGCAGGTGACACCGTCCGCCCTGCACAACCCACAACAGCTACAGTCACGGCAACGACAACAGTTTCAGCCCAGAGCAGCAACGCAGAAACGACAACAGCTACAGCTATAAGGGCAGCGAAGGCGGATGACGCCACCCCCTACACACAAAAAACATGACAATGACAACAGCTACAGCCAAGGCAGATGATGACAAACGCACCTCCATGGAGAGGTCGAGGAGCTTGTCGAGGTCCACCCCTCGGAAGGTAAACTTCCTGAAGGTGCGCTTCTTGCGCATCTCCGCCACTTGCTCGCTCGTCAAAGCCTCTTGAGACATGATTGCAGCTGCTGGACCGAGGCCAACAAGGCGTGGCAGACGAGGGTGGCATAAAGAGAGCAAACAGGGGTGAGGCGGTGCGGGACGAGGGTGAGGACCCGACAGGGTGGAGGGGGGGCATGCTCTCATGTTCCGCATGCCTTAGCGGTTAAACCCCGCGTCTTTCAGAGCACGGAGCATTGTTCCCACAGGATTGCGAAACGCCAATAGTTCTTTCCTGCTTTGCCAGAGGTGGCTCAAAAAAGGAAGTACATTGCAGGGAGGGGGTGGAGGGGGTCACCGAGAAAATAACCGGACAGAGGAGATTGCAGACTAACAGAAGATGGGAGAAGGGCAAAGACGGGAAATGAGAGGTGGTTACAGGGAAAACAAGAGAGGGACGGATCTAGTACGTGTCCCGTCAAGGACATGTGGGATGGACAACATAGTGACGAGTGAGTCATCACCAGCAGAGGAACAGCGAACCCGTTGTTCTCAGGGGAAAAACCAGCAGCCTAAAATATAACCTATTCATAGTACAGTATCTTGGTGGGCGGAAAGGGTTGCTCTCGGGGGGGCATGCGGCCGGAGGGGCCTCAGGACACCATAAAAATAGACCTCGAATATGCACTAGCTGTGGTCAACTCTCGCGGTCGTCGTGCTACATCACGTTAAATTTACCTCGGGAACTCCCTCACGCCCTCTGGACACTAGCATTGACTTGATGTGCACACGAAGGGCCCATGGCTGGAGTGGATAATCTACACAGGATGCGGAGACTGCACTTGGTACACTGATGTTTGTTAAACCGGGCGCTTGCACGGGGGCTGCCCGAAGAGTCTGGATACACGTGTAGGAGTGGGCGACAACTGCTGTACCACCTGGGTGCTTACATCGCGCGGAAACGTCCTTCTGAAGCGATTTTCAAAGCTCGATTGCTCCAGGACGAAGAGGAAGCACGCATCACAGACAACTTTTCGGGAAGCTCTCGACGAGACGGTTCCAACGCCGCTATAGTCGGCACCGCTAACTCTTTTTGCTGAGCAATCCAGGGTTGAAAATCAGTCTAGGGGGTGTGTTATCTAACGTCACCAGCGGCAGCTGTATGTACCGCCGTGTCGGGCACGAGTGGTGTCGCTGACGGGCGTCGGCGCCAAAAGAAAATACGCGATCCCCTTGAAATTCAGCAGCATGGTGCGCTACAAGTATTGAAAGGGTAGAGGAGAGCATCGGGTGGTACTTGTTGTGCTTAGATGAGAGGCGCGGTTGGAGTCGCTGGGCCGACGAGCACCCACAAGACGCAAAGCACCAGGCGAGAGAGCCGGGAAAAATGATGGTTTGCCGCTGCGAGGGACAACTAGCGAAGCGCGGCTTTCGGTGTGCCCTAGAAGATCAGCACCAGATAACTTGACCAAGGACGCATCGAGACCTACAGGCATATCTCCACCTGCTGGCTGTCTCAACACATGTGTTGCAACCTGTGGGCGACAGCGGCAGCAGCAGCAGATCGAAGACCGCAGATCGAAGGCCGAGAAGGCTTTGCTTGGCGGTGCAAGAAAGGCTCTGCTTGGCCTTACATGATCGCCGGGGTTAATATGACAACAAGCAAAAACGACAGCTTCTTACCTGGGACCTCGACACGCAGGGATAGAGGGAGAGAGCACCGGGAGAGAAACCGGAGCAGTGTGGGCTTGCCCGCCCTCGCCCCAAAGCCATTCGTCGCACATCCGGGGGGCCTACAAATAAGATATAAACCCGGGTATGTATAAAGCTCATTGGTGTAGCCCCCTGTAGCGGCGCACAAGCGGTGCACCAAACAACGCGGCCACAAGCTCTCTGCTCTTAGGCAACTACCACCACAGCAGCTGCTAGAACACACCCGGACCGACAGAGAGAGCACTTGTTGCTGTTGACGTTTTGGTACCTGCCCTTGTTTAGCGGAGATCTGGTTCTTTCAGGGGGGAACAGACAGAAAAACGACGGTCCTAGGCAGCGATTTGGGTCCCCACTTTTTCAAACGAGAGACACGAGAGACAAAAGAGCAGAGATATGTCTTCTCCCACCATGACCGAGGGTGCTCTGCCGGCGACACCGAACAACCTGGACCACGGAAATGGAGGACGGGAACAAACTTCGGCGTCGCCAATGCCACCCCCGCCCCCATTCAACACGCCCTCGGGGTGAGCTAGCTCTTCTTGTAGCAGATCAAACTTTAGCATGTCTTTCGGCCCGCGGTGCGATTTTTATTTATAGCGGCGCGCGCGCGGCTGCGAAGGTTGGCAAGTTGCAAGCGCGTGAGCGCTGTTTGAAGGGTTCAAAGGTGTGTGGTCGCCTGCGTCTTCTCTTTTTCTCGCTTTTCATCTCGGCCCTTTCCCGACTTTGTGGCCGCGGAGGCTTCATCTTGAAAGAGGAGATTCGTTTGCTGGAGTGTATGCGACGCATTTTTGTCACAGCGCTGATAACCGCTATTTTAGCCCTGTTCGGGCTGCCGGACACGTTGAGATCTCTCTCACACCCCAACGGGCGGATTCGATTTTGGCGACGACAGCAGCGCAGTTGGATACGTCGATGATAGTTCGCACCACTGGTTTTGCCCTCGGCCCGCCCTAAATGCAGCTTGATTCACGAGTCACGTCGGCAGCCCGAGCAGTGTTTTGTGGTGTCTCGAAATTGTTCGGAGTGCGCACTGCTGCTACTGCTGCGGAGTGCGTTTCGTAATGAAGCTCCACCCCCCCCATTTATGCCTAACGGTCAAGTGCAAAATAGTGTGAATACATACTGTACAGCCAAAAAAGTGGAGGTTTAATCATCCGTCCGGAATACCACACGCTTGGGTGCTGATTTGGCAATCCCGCCAAAAGTTTCTGGTATTTTTTTTGTGGTTTTCCAGTGTTGGGGGTGGAATTAGACGGCGGTGGCGGTATTACCCGGCGGTCATACACGTGCATATTAGGAAAATACACACAAAAGAAACATGCACACGGCGGTGACACGGCGGTGCACACACGGCGGTGCAACACGTTGTTCGGGATGACCCAATTCTGTAGTTTTTGGAAGATCTGGTGTTGACAAGATTAGGATTATAAGGTATTAATAGTAAGGTTTCACGTGTATCGCATGCACAATCAAGGGTCGCACTCTCGGTGCTGCAACCCTCGAGATGCGCTCAAGGCGATGATAGCTGCAGGGTGCTGGATTCAACCGGAGGATAAAAGTATTCTCTCTTGCCATGTGTGTACCGCATACGACACAAGTTACTACACCCACAGGACATTAAGACACCCCCCACAGAATGCGTTGCCGAGTGCTAAATATTTTTGGATCTCGAAGGAGGGGCCGAACTACCACCCTGTTTACGTAAGACATCGCACCTCCCGAGGCTAGACGCATGTAATGATGAAGGCCATGCCACCTAATATCACCCGGTATAGTAGTGACACAGCAATGGTTTGACGACATACAAGATGGACCAGCGGAGCACATACTCAACGCACCCCTCGTGAGTTCGGGGGAACCACGCCGTATGGCTCTTCAATGCAAACAAACCTATCTTCGTATCTCCCCCGCCTTCTTGGCATAATACTACTGCTGTATGTGTTGTGCAGAGCTTTTTTCTGGTTTCACGGCACACTTATATCGCCGTTGCCAAGAGAACGTTTTGGCGTTAGAGAACGTTTTGGCGTTCGTTGCAAGGGTCACGCAGTTGTCACCTCCCCGTCCCCCTCAACCATACGACTGCAAGCACCCTCTGCAGGAACTTTACTTTAGTGTGTTGTAGCAGCGGTATCACCCCCAGCTCAGTAATACCCACACACCCTCCTGCAAGTGCGGCGGCAGCAGCATTGCGGTAGTTTTTTGCACTCAAAGGTACCACCCCGCTCGAAACACCACGCCCCCCGCACGTGTGGCCGTAGGCACGGTGGGTACTTCTGTGCAGGCAGTCCTCAGACCTCCCTGATTTTCCACTCGCCTTCGGTCCCTGCAAGTGTGCTGTGGGCATGCATTACACCCCTCCTGGTTGTCACACCTCCTTCATGGCCCCCGCGACCTGCACTTCATTTCCCGGGCCCACAAGATACAACACATCCCACCGGATACAACCGGGTGACATTGCCAAAATGTTACTATGTAGTACTCCGTAAATGTTATCCCCCAGGGGGGTGTTATATTGCGTGTCGTTCACGGTGTGCATATGTCCATCAAACCGCTTGCTCTGGGCGTCCATGCATCCGAGCTTTTGTTTCGCTGTAACGGACCGTCTAGACCAGGTCGACCCCCCCCGATCATGCTGCTGCTGCTGTAACAAATTTTAATCTCTCCGGGCAAGCTGATCGGGAACGCAGCCCATCGACCCTCCATGCGCCCCCCCGCACGAGTCGCATGTTCTGCTGGTCTGCGCATACTATCGGTTTGTGGAAAAAAGAAAGCACGCTTCCATCAACCCCCTACACCATATGGGTGTGCCCCAACGCCGCCGGGTGCGGATGCCCCAAGTTGTACAAAATCTCGGCACGTAATGCGACGCGGATTTTTACGTGTATGCAGATGACACCAAAACGGCAGAAAGAAATGAGCTTGTGTCCTTTTCTCCCACTTGTCATTCTCCGATGAGGACAACAAATCGCTCCAAGTTATCGAACCGCGTTCATGTGTGGAGTGTTGCAGGCATGTCGATCGGTGCTCAAACTCAATATTGGGATGACGCAATGCAAGCAACTGAGAGCACCCCCCCCCGGTATTCCCACGCCCAATCTCTCCCCCCCCCCCGTGTCAGGACTATGGGCGCAGGGGATGTCCCCGTGGCAATGGACTCTGCCCAAGGTGGGGACGAAGGTGAGGATGCGGGTAGGTAGGTAGGTAGGTATGAACTTTATCATTCTACGGAACCCCGCTTGTGATACATTTACTTTTGGACGATTCGCCTGAACTGAGTTCGATCAGTGCTGGTGATAGATTACTACTGGTTGCGCAAGATAACACAACGCGGTTTCAACGCTTGGTTTGCTCTGCGGCACAGGCAGTAAAGGATCCGAAGACGTTGGCACCGCCTCGTCGAGAGCGTGTCGAAAACGTACGTAACGTTTAGTGTTGGTATCCTCGCGACCGTCGAGTAGGTACGGTGCCGTAAGGAGCGGAGAAATGGCAGCCCCCCCTGGACAGACGTTCAAAGGTCGATTCGATTGCTCCACAGCCAAGGGGGTGCGGAAAAGAGACGGATAATTCTGCGGATAGCCCTTGCCGAGATGTTTCCGAATCCACCATTTACGGTGTTGGCACACTCACTCTTGGCTGTGGAGCTATCGAGCTTTGAAAATCGATCTAGGGGGGGTGTCATCTCTCTCCACCTTTTAACGGTAGTGGCCCTGCTTTAAAATTCGGGGGGGGGGGGGGGGGGGGGGGTATCTTGCGCAACGCACTGTACTTACGCCGTCACAACCGTCACTACCTTGTACGGAGTTTTTGGCGGAGAATGGCCTTGCCCTAAATACTTCCAATATCGCTTTTGGTCCTCGATAAATCACGCTTTGCTAAGACCTCACGGCGATTTTTGCGGTTGCACCCAGAGCTCTGTAGCTTGACCAGAAGCACCCCGTTTTAGAGTTCTGTAGAGATGCGGGGTTCTGCAAAATGCATGGTGTGGAGTACTGTATGTCCCCCCCCTCGCTATTCATCGGGAACTGTGTCTTTTTTTGTGCGGTCTCGTCACCTCAAGTGAATGCATGAAGGAGCCTTAAGCTCTTTCGAAAGTTAAGTATATAATTCGTCAGCCCAGGTATCTTCCACACATGTTACAGATGAGATCTCCCACAGACAGAAACAGCTCTTTCGAAGGGTATGTCCCTCGGTAGGACATAGGTGATCCACGGTGATCTGAGAGAAATGGTAATGGGGGTTGATCGGGGTGTGTTTGCCCGAGGTGATCTGAACGACTTAAATGATCTGTGTTGTTTGCTCCGTGGTGATCTGTATGACAGAGGTGAGCTAGCTCGTGATCTGTCCTATGTGTGGTCACAGTCATATACCCCTTATCGTAGACGAAACGGGCTTGGTCCAACTTCCTCTTTGGGGGGGCGTACAGCGGGGGGTACTGTTTACTATTTGTACTGCTGTGTAAACCGGGCTGTCTCAACTGGACTCACTTACTCCACACCAACGTCCCCCACAGTACCCCGTGATTGTTTGGGTGCTACGTATAACATCGGACGCGTTCCGGTCTGACCCCCCCCTCTGCACCAGTCAGGCCCCATGTACTGCAATCCATTTTCGTCGTTGCCGCCGTCTTGTCCCGCTTACTAAACTCGTTCGGCATGTTTTTTTTTTTTGTTTTGTGCCGGTGCCCCACTTTCTCTTTTTTCTCGGAGCAGTGACCGGTGCTGCTTTGGCCAATATGCTGTCGGGCATCGGTATCAGCGACAACGCCTCAGGTATGTAGGCAACTCTCTGGCGGAAGGTTGATCTAGGTTGTACACATCCCGGCGTGGCTGTCCCTGCTGCTGCTGTAGCTGCGCGAGTTGCCTGCCTCCCTTGTGTGTCTACCTGTGGGATCCTTACCCTTTTCTCGCCTCAAGGTTGAAGCCATGAGCCCATGCTAACCTTACCCTGCTGCGCGAGTCTGCTGGCCTCTCGTACCCTTGGTGTGTCTCGCTGTGGGACCTTTCTGACCTCAAGGTTGAAGCCATGAGCCTTTGTCAGGCTCTTTGCGAGGAAACGTTTAAAGACAACTAAGCCTTTGTGTTGGACTGATGCCGGTGTATACCCTAGGGAGGGGGGGGGGTAGCGAAAGAGACAAGGCGAAACATGAACAAAATACGCCATCCCCTCTCCTTCCCTTCTTGCCGTGTTGGGCCCATTTTTGTTTCTACGACAGGGGACGCGGTTTCAGCGACGCCCCGGAGTGGAGGGGGGCAGGGCGTCGACCAAGATGACGATGATGACGACGAGGACTACGTGGATGGGGTAAGCGGGGACTGCCTATTGTACGCAAAGAAAGTAATGTTATTTCGAGAAATGACCAAGGGCAGGGAGGGGGCACGCAGACCGTACCCCTAACCCCAACCCCTACTTAGCCGATTCTATACTTTGTCCAGTATGTTTGCTTTCTCAGAAAAACTTTGCGTAGACTGCTGATAAGAAAGGGGGGGAAAATTGGGTACGTTTGAGTACAGCAGTCTACAAGAACGCCCGGGGTAATTCTCATCCCCCCCTCGCGAGGTCAATGGTCTAACGACTTCGGCATGCACGGCTCTGAGTACCCCCCACCGTGCGCCTGGCAGCAATGCCTTGCGCAGCGATTCCGCTGGAGTATACCCCGGGCGGTGTTCAGTGCTTTCGACAAGAGACGTGCTGTTTTTGGGGCAGGGGGGGAAGAAATATCGGGTGATATTGGGGGCCATGAAATGGTCCGTGTGTCGAAAGAGAGAGAGGACAAGGGTGATCGAAGGAGTGTTGATGGGGCTGGGTATGGTGTTGAGGCGTGTCTCGTTGACTGATTTTGCGAGGGAGAAGCAAGAAGGCAAGGGGCGAGGACGATGGAGCTTCGAGGAAAGAGCGAAACACGACTATTAATACGTCAACATGCGGGGCAGGATGAGCGATAGTACGTGGGGAACATGTGTACATGTACAGAGCAGCGAAGAAAATGACAAAAGTGTAGATGATCACGGGGTTGAGGTATCGTAAAACGCATGGTAGGTGTAGGCATTCTTCTCCCAATGCCTAAGAAGTGGACTTGTTGCATCTCCCTCTCCCAACACACGCTTCAATGTGCTGTGTGCAGGAGGATAACGAGGTAGAGCTACCGCCAGAAGTGATGAAGAGGCTGTACGAGCTCAAGGCCCTGCAGTCAGAGAAGGACGTGGTGAGTGCTGGGCACCGCTCTGCCGCTGCCGCTGCTGCTGCCACCACCGCAGGCAGCGCGTGGTTCCGCCGTACGTCTATGCGCGCGTCGCGTGAGATGCGGCAAGATATGTGTGTCCTTGTCCTTTGGCGGTACGCATAGCGGAAACGTGAAATGTGGTATGTAGACGACAAAGAGGAGAGAGGGGAGGCGCGTTCTCGATTTCTCTTCATGAGGGGAGGGTGGTACGGCGGTGACCCGTTCGTCTCTGCACAACACATGCCGTGAGTGTTTGGAGGGACTTCCCTCCGTGCACATCGATTTATGCAGAACCTTAGAGGGAGGGCGTCCCGCATGGGAGCTGTGTCTCCACTAAGAGTGACCGTTCTGTCTCTGTAGCGTGAGTGCGCGGTCGATAATCCACCGGCTGCTGCAAGGCAAGCGCTACAAGTAATGATTGTACCCCCCCCCGCCGCCGTTATGAACGGCCTTCCCAAGATTTACGGAAAGTACAAGGCGAAGCGCGCGGAGCTGGAGATGGAGTTTGCCAAGGAGTACGGAGCGATCTACAGCCGCCGGGCGGAGGTTGTGGCGGGGAGGTCGAGGGATATTGACGGTACGAAGAGGGAGGGAAGGGGGGAAGATGAACGTACGCACTATTGTTCAACAGATATCTGGAAGGCGGATAAGCGAAACAAGAATCAATATCCTACCAATACTGGCTCAAGCGATACATGAAAAAAACGAGGTTCATAAATGAATCCGAAATATTCTTTCGCTTCCGGCAGCGCGGGGGGGCGAGGGGGGTCACAGATGCGCGCGACATTGAGCGGTGTACACACAGGACTTTGCGGAGCGGCAAAGGGACTTGTAGAGCGAGGGGGTAAGAACGCAGAACAAGAGTGAGAATGAAGAGCAGGACATGCAATTGTGATAGTTTGTCGCCTGTCCCCCGCTCCCTTAGGCTGCGTTGCGGTGCCTTCCACTATGCAAGTCCTCGCCCTTCGTGCAAATATTACTAAGAATGATGACAGCGCAACAACAACGACAGCCAATAACGAATGCAATATAAACCACTACCACCACCCAAACCAACAGCGACAGCGACAACAACAACGAATAACAACAATACCACTACCACCACCCAAATAAACAACGACAACGACAATAACAACAATATCACCACCACGACGACCACCAACAACAACAACAGATCCGGAGCCCGAGCTTGGCGCGCAGGGGGAGGGAGGGGCGGGCGGCGAAGCGGCTGGGGGAGAGGTTGGCGTGCCGCACTTCTGGATGCAGTGCATGCTTCACCACGAGGCCCTGCACGATGTCATTTGGTGAGAGTGACTCTAGGGTATCGTGGCAGTCTTGGACCACCGTACGTGTTTTGTTAACTTTGTTGTTGGATGTTGTGTCTGTTGGGAATTCAGAGCGTTTTTGACCCGCGCAGACCACCGTACATGTTGTACTCGTTCTTTGTGGTGATGCTGTATTCGATGTTGTGTTTGTTGGGGATATGTTTCAAAATTGTAGTATTTGGTCTTCCTCAGGCTGACAGTCCCGTTTCGGCTGACAGTCCCGTTTCGGCTGACAGTCCCGTTTCGGCTGTTGGCCTGGCGGGGTGGCGGGAGGGAGCGGGGGCATTGGTCAATGCTTGGACAACACCAAAACGACAACAATTCGCACACTACCGTGTGCCCTCAAATGGTACAAACGTCCTCTAAATCGCCGCCTCGGGATGAATTGGAACGAGTGCACGACTACACCACTTCTGTTCGGAAATATAGCACCATTCGGATACTAATAATGTAGTACTTTAGTGGTGTGATTGTCCCAATGGTCCCCGCATTTCCGAACAGAGGTGTAGTATTTGAGTGTTGCTGCTGCCGCATCTGATCGTCTTGTGCTTGCTTGGAGGAGAAGCCTTTCACCACGACTTCATTTGGGTACACCCACCCACCGCTAGTGGCGATTGCTGAAGCCCTGTTTTGATCCTGGGTGGACTCTTTGTGGGGGTGGGGGTGGGGGGTGTACTCATAGTCGTGCATGCTGTAGTCGTGAGGCCATTGACCTCGCATCCACAGAGGGAGTGGCACGTAGACTGAGCGCATGCGTATACTTTTGTCGAAGTGTGACTTGGACTCGGCCTTTCTGGTTTGCTCAGTAGCCTTGGTTTTGGTAGGGGGTTAGGATTAGGGTTGGGTAGGGGGTTAGGATTAGGGTTGCGAACCCCCCCCTCTCTGCGTCATTGTCATTGTTATCCTCGCGCTAGCGGTTCGGTGTGCGTGGCACGGGCGCAGCCTTCACTGGTGTTCTTGGCAGGCAGGCTCTTGTTGCTTGTGGAGCAACCGAAGTGCTGTAACAATCGATCGATCGACCGATAGCATTCCTTTCTGCGTTTGCCGGCACTCCTTCCTTGCTTGGTAGGGGTGGGAGGTCTCAAGTCGCGGTACTTGTGACATGTATGGTTGTACGAGTAGTCAACGCTTCGACAAAATAAGAACGGCCGAAACAACACACGCATTCAATCCTCTTTGTGTCTTGTTCTGCTGCTGCTGCTGCTGCCACTGCTGCTGTTGCTACTACTGCTGCTCGCTGCTGCCGCTGCCGCTGCCGCTGATGCTCTTTCGTGCAGCGAGCCGGACCTGGAGGCGCTGTACTACCTGTCGGACGTACGCTGCGTGGACAAGGACACTCTCCTCGGGTTCACCCTCGAGTTCCACTTCGACGACAACCCATACTTCTCGAACGCGGTGCTCACCAAGCGATACGACACCGCCAACATCATGGACCAGGTTAGGAGGGCGGTGTTTTTGTTTTTTTTGCAGGCAGCATGTTTTTTCCGGGCGGGTAGGGGGGGGGGGGGGGGTACTTGAGGAAATGTTGTGGTATGATATTGCGGAGCGCCACGTGCCACGCCGTGTTTGGACGAAACGGGGGAGTAGTGAACGTGATAATGCCTACGACCGGAGACGCGCCATCGCCAGTGCGTCCGCGAACGCGTAGCAAATAGCAGAAATACTCTCAACGGCTTTTTTTATTATTTTTATTGTCAGCGATATCCAGCGCCTTCTGGAACGCCTCGACTGGAACTTGTTGAATGAAATGTGGCACGCGTTGTCTACGCGAAAACCATGGTAAAAACTAAATGTCACCGTCAGGCAATCGCCCGAGGTAAGCGTTGGTGGGAAAGAGTACAGGACAACGATTTCAGGTTTGGCATGAAATGTGATTATTTTTACAGGTTGAGTCTTACTGCCTGTTTTTGGGGTTCTTTTACCGTAGCCTTTCCGGTGTTTTGGTATTGTGTTGTGATCTTAATTCCTTTGTTTTGTCGGCATTTATAAAATATGTCCTATCCGCCTTCATTGTTCTTTTCCACCGCCAGGGAGAACCCCTTCTGGAGGGAGTCGAGGGAACGCCGATCGATTGGAAATCCGGGCGAAACCTGTGCGAGAAGACCATCAGGAGGAAGATCAAGAGAGGGGGCTCCAGGAGCGGGGAGACGAGAACCATCACCAAGGTACCGTATGTAATGCATACCACGCTCATGACCCCTAATACGACCCCCCTCCGTCCCTCCCTCCCTCCCTCCCTCCCTCGGGCATGGCATGTGTGGATTGCCCAAGGATGATGACACTTTCAGCTTCTGGTCCACCCTTGTGAAACGTTTTGAGCCTGGGCCAGCGATTACCCGGCGTATCGCTTCGGCCCGGCATTGTAGGGATGCCAGGTCAATGGTCTAACGACTAGGCATGCAATTACATGAGCACCCCCCCCCCCCCCCCTTCCAAAACACTCCCACTGGGCTTGCTTTGTGGCTCTTGGG